AAGGTTGGAAAGTTTAAATGGACTCATCTAAAGCTGCTTGTCCTTAGCACATGCCAAGACTAATACTGCAACTTGAGTCTTCTGAATTTTTGTGCCATGTTCTTTTTCATTATTTTGTTAGGAATAAGACTACCTATTAATGACTGTGTCATTTCATAGAAATATTTACAACCCCCCTACACACATCTGACTTGCCCAAGCTTTATTTAAAACTTAATATCCTGGTTTTGGTGACCAGGCATCCCTCTTTGATTAAGACTCACAAAATCCTCTGTAGAGTTGAAACAACTTTAAATTAAATTAAAAAAGAGTTTGTTGCTTTTTAGATTTATTTGTGAAGTCCTTCATACATACTGCAGGGATAGAAATCATTATGCTGTTGGTCTTCATGAGTCTTCCTTCTAAGAACCACCAATTAGTTACTATAGAGATGCCAACATGGCTTGTCAATAGAACGTTCTTACATAAAGTCTAAATATGAATAGAAGATATGAACAAATTATTTAATATACAAAGGATACATTTTATATTGATATAGAGATCTGTCTTTATGCACCCATGTATAAATACACAAAACAAGAAATAAATTCAATCAAGACATGTATAATAACCCTGACTGGTGTGGCTCAGTTGATTGCACATCATCCTGCAAAGCAAGAGGTTGCTGGTTCGATTCCCTGTCAGGGCACATGCCTGGGTTGCAGGACGAGTCTGTGGTAGGGATACATGTGAGAGGCAACCGACTGATGTTTCTCCTCTCCTCTCTATCATAACATTGATATGATATGTTTCATATCAATATTTCTCTCCCTCTTTTTCTCCCTGCATTCTCCTCTCTCTAAAATAAATAAATAAAAATCTTTAAAAGACATGTATAATAATTCTAGCTAAGTGGTTTTTAAAAAGCACATTATATCTTATATTTTTTACTTCATAAGAGGTTGCTTGCATCTCATGAGAAGTCATTAGGAACATCTTAACGGGATGGTGACCACAGAGCTGTTGGAGAGAAGTGTTTGTCAGAGGAAGGAGTAATGCCAATACATTGCAGTCATGGGAAGGCACTGCTTGGCTCCCCCGCTGTGGTGAGCACAGATGGTGGGTGACCCTTCTGTTGTTCCAGACCAAACCTATCAAAGGTGCAAGGGCAGACCAGGATGGCGAGATGCAGGACTGCTCCAGCCAGTGGCTTTGGCTGAAGGATTCTGCATCGACCTTGCTGAAATTTTTTCTGGAACTGTGCTACAGTCCAAGATTCTTTTTACCCAACCCTCCTTCCTCGCCTCTCACCTTCCATAAATGTTAGATCTGTATTGCCATCTCAGGGATCTCCTGCCTCTTCCCCCAGTAAATAAGTCCCATGTCAGCATCTGCTCCTTGGCAGACCCAAATTAATGCCAAGTAATTAAGACTTTATGGATGGCAGAGCCTCCCGCCCTCCCCTCTCCTTTTTTTGCACTCACACACAAGATTCAATATAACTTTCAAAATAACCCAAGTGTTTTTTTTAAATTACAGTTGACACTGAGTATTATATTGGTTTCAGGTATACAGCATAGTGGTTAGATATTTGTATAACTTATAAAGTGATCCTCCCAGTAATTCCAGTACTCACCTGGCACCATGCACAGTTATTACAGTTTTATTGACTATATAACCTATGCTGAACTTTACATCCCCATGACTGTTTTGTAACTGCCAATTGGGACTACTCAATGCCTTCACCTTTGTTACCCCGCCCTGCCGTCCCCTTCCCATAGGGCAACCAGCAGTTTGTTCTCTGAGCATCTATGAGTCTGTTTCTATGTTGTTTTGTTTATTTTTTAGATTCCACATATAAATAAAATCATATGGTATTTGTCTTTCTCTTTCTGACATATTTCACTTAGATAACACACTCTAGGTCTACTCATACTATTGCAAATGATAAGATTTCATTCTTTTTAGGGCCAAGTACAGGTAATATTCCAAAACATGAATTTGAAAAGGTATATGCAACTCTATGTTCCTTACATGGTTATTTAAAATAACCCAGGTCTTGACTAGTCATCAGCAAGTGTCCAAGAGACATCCAGAAATCACTCTGGGGCAATTTCATAGGCTGCGTTCATCCCTGGAATGTGCAAAAGGATGCTTTTCTTAATGTGACTATTCTTCATGGTTAATTTTTGGAATGGTTACAGGTAGAAAAAACAACCGTGGTTGAGATTTTTAGAAATTGTTGCATGTAATAGATTCAAATGGAGAAACATAATCTTTCTTCGTTAGAGAGGAATGAATGATAGTGAGCTCTAGATAAATGAGAAGATACAGAAGAATGTTGCAGCCATGCCCTCTGTGAGAACCTACAAAAACTGCCACAATCACCAGGCAGCTGTTCCTGTTGCCCATAACAGAGGGAGGAATGTATCTTCTGAGTGACAATCTTCCTTTGCAGTGATGCGTGCATGCAACTGTTTTTTTTCCCTTGATATATAGCTAGTTATGTTACAAACCTGACAATGCAATAGTAAATAAACCATTTTTTTTTCTGGAAAGCATTTGTGTTTATTCTGATGTCCTATGTAAGATGTGCAAGAGACAACTCTTTGGTACGTGTTCCATCTTGGGATACACTACTATCAGGGTAAGTACACTGAAAGAGATCTCTGCACGAATGCCAGCTCCATCAGGAATCAGCCACCAGCCTTTGGGCAAATCACCATAGGCTCTATGACTTCAAGTCCCATCATGCAAAACAGTATTATAATACCCAGTATCCTTAGCTCAAAACATTACTCGTATTCAATGGAGATGAAGTCTTTACAAGAGCCATGTAGATTAGAAAGACTGCACAAGAATAAAAAATGTTTTCTTTTTACAAAAAATGTCTATGTCATGAAATTGGCAAATTTTAAACCTCCTGGTATCTCACTTGTTAGAACAAAATCTTCCCAATTTGAATATGAGGGCTGGGTGAGTGAGGGGCTCCTTGTGACCTTTCCTGTGTGTTGCAACTGCCTTTTGTGGTTTTCATCTCTTAATGCAATGTGTTCTGTTGGGTAATACTGGGTAGATCATCTCATTTCCATTTACAGGCACAAATATAGATTTTTAAATGTATCCCCTATAATTGATAAATCAGTGACTACGGCACTAATAAATATGAGCTGAAGTTTAAATTTGAATCACTTTTCTCTCCCCCATAACAGGACCCTATAGTGGCATTAACATTTCTGTTTAATATTTTTATTCCTCAAACTAAAATAGCAACAAAATTACATCTTCCAACCCCCAGGCTTCCATTATTGATTCTAATATCAGGTCCAAGATTCCCCTTTTGTCTAAACCAGTGGCCACTATGCAATGAGAGTATTCTTATCTCATGGTTGTTGCTGACAGGACCTCCAACTAATCCTTCCCACATTTCCAGCTCCTTATTTATTCATTTCACCACAAATTACAGTTCTTAAAGCATTAGTGTGGCAACCTAACTCTCCCACTCTGAAATCATTGGCAATTTCCCATCTGATAAAGCACATCCTGTTTAGCCTGACACTCAAAGCCACCTCCAATCGGCTTCAAATCTTTTCAGCAACATTCGTTGTTATTCTTCCCTATCTGCCTTTTTCTGTGCAGGAAGAAAAAACGGTTTATTCTCACTAATTTCAGAACAAAGTTTGCATTTTTGCACCTTCATGGTCCTTTGCCCCCAGAAATATTCATTCTTCCCACTAATTCTTGAACTTGAACAGCCTCCAGAGATAACTAAAGCCCCTCCTTTTAAACAGAGTTACAGAAAGAGCAGACAAACCCTGATTGTGAGCGATTTCCATCCTGCCCACCAGCTTGCAGGGAGTTGGCAATGACGTGAGGTTAATCCCCAGGTGCTGAGGGTTCTAAGGCATCATCCTCTGACATCTAACTTCAGTGGGACCCTGTCAGCCATCCTTCATGATAAAGCCTGCTGGGAAATGGCTCTCTCTTTTCCAAATCCCTATACCACTTTTACTGTCTCTACAATTCACATGACTATTAACCACTGGGTTGCTTTGCAATGTCTCTTCATTTTTCCTATTGATTTTTAAATTACGAAAGTACTAACCACTTGCTATAATAAATTGAAACTGCATGGAAATGTACAAAGAAAAAAATGGAAAGGTGGCTAACTGCTACTGCACTAGTGCTGTGCCCAGAGTGAGAACTACTAATGACCTATTATTGTTCAGAATTATTTTTCTCTGCATCTATCAATGCATGCAGTTAGTATACCTAAGAAAGAGCTGGTCTGTTACTCACTGAGCTCACACTTAATCTTTGGCTTGCATTATCTCTCTTTTGTTCTCTCCCCCAAGTGTGCACATGTATGTGTATATTCATACACATGCATTTTAATATTTGCACACACACATACACATAAGTATATGATTATATATAATTATACATAAACATATAATTTTATACATATACTTTTTGGATTGTTCCCATGTTCTGCTATGATAAGCAATTTGATGATACACTGAATATTTTGTTTCTTGTATAGAATATTTATATAACATTTGCAGGAGAGATTTATGAAAGAGGAATATTTATGTCAAATGTATATACACTTAAAATTTAGATAACTTTTATACATATCCCTCCAAAATTCACAGGAGGGTTTATTTTCCCTCTTATTCACCAATTTGATGCTTCCAGTTTCTACCAATCTAACAAATGCTAACATTATTATAATATGTGTTTATCTATCTTTTCAGTATTTTAAAAACCATGTTTTTTTCCTGTGTATATTTCTCATCTTTTCACTATTTTCAACATTCCTTCCATTTTTTCCCTGAGCGTTCTTTGAACATGTTTTTTCCTATAAATTGGCTTTGTTACATGATTTTCCCTTATTCAAGTTAGAGTCAGAGCTTAAGGTAGAGACTTTCTTATAACCCTTGTTTTCTCTGAAGTTTTTAATAGTGCACTTGTATAGAGTAGGTGCTCAGCAATGCTTACCGTTTGCCTTTCTCTGACAGACTGTCAACCTGTCGGCGTGGAAAGCTGAGTTAAACAGAAAAAGAGACACCTGAGGACAGATGCATTTGAATTATGGGATGAAGAGGATTCACTACCAGGAGTTCAGTGCCCACTGACCAGGTACTAACTTTGTACAAACAATGGACTGTAGAAGGTCAAATTTTAAAAATACCGTGTGATTTCACTCATAGGTGGAATCTTATGAACAAACTGAAAGAAGAAGCAAAAGAGACAGACTCATAGATGGAGAGCAGGCAGACAGCTATTGGTGAGCAGTAGGGTTGGAGGGATCGAGCAAATAGGAAAAAGGACTCATGGACAACAGTGTCATGATTATGGGTGATGAGAGGGGCAGAAGGGATATATGGGGACTAAATGGTAAGGTAAAAATACAATAAAAAATAAAAATATATTAAAAAATTAAAGGTAAAAAAATATTAAAGATCGTGGCATTAGGGATATTCATCTTCTTCAGTGACTTATCGGACCGTGGTACTTAGAAAACAATCCCCTTCTTTATTATTATTTCCATTGCCTACATCCCTCTCCACACCACAATCATGGGCATTTTAAAACTCCTTCCTCTTCTTTGCTTTCACACTTTAAATTTGTATCCTGTTTTTGGTAGAAACATCAACTATACGACATCAATGAGCAAGAGTCAAAGAAATAGGCCTGATCCTTTTCCTTTCTCTTAATCAGATGAGAAAACACCCCATTCTTTACATGCAAGTGAATAAAGAGCTAAATGAAGAGTTGTAATGGGTGGAAAGAGAGGGAGAGAGTATCCTCTGCATCCTTTTGCTGTGACACTTGTGTTTATCTCAAGGAAAGACTCAGCTCATGGAGCCTGTGTAGCTCAGAGCAAACCTGCTTGCATATATCACCCAAGGAAGCAGCAACCCATCAGCTACCCAGGGAAAGAAACCCATGGAATCTAACTCAAGTGTCTGTCACATCAAATACCTTTTCTATTCTGCCACTGAATTATATATTTTCAATGAAAAGTACAGGAGGAGTCTTGAGAAATGTATATTTTTCCTTAAGTATTCTGTAGCCAGAGCTCTGTCTCCAGCACAGTCAAGAGCTCCTGAGTATTTGCGTTTCTCAGCATCTCTGGGGAGTACAGACACACATCGCTGCCTTCTTCCCCCATTCTTTCCTCTGCATCCCACCTCCACATGACTCATTTCCTTCATTCCGTCCAATGAACCATTCCCCAATTACCTGCCCCACTCATGGCCTTGTCTCTCTGTCTCCTTTCTGTCACACAGCCTAGCAATCCAAGCACAGACAATGGTAGTCACACATGTGATTCCACATGTTTCATTTATTTCTCAAGAATATTGAGGAAAAGTTTATAGTTCCTTTAACCAGAAGAATGAACACAATGCTACTTCTGCAGCTGAACTTGCTCCTTTCTTGGCGTTAAAGTCTCTTTCATTCTTTTCCCATGTAACATCTTAACCAACCCCTGGAAACAAGAGCTACTCATTCCAACACCTACTACTCTACTGCTCCTCCATGTTTTGCTCATCCTCATCCTTTTTTCCAATTATGTAAATATTCCCCTGATATACTTCCCCTCTCTTTTCTCACTTACACTTCAATGCTTTGGTTGTCTTCCTTCCTTCCTTCCTTCCTTCCTTCCTTCCTTCCTTCCTTCCTTCCTTCCTTCCCAGAGACTCTTTAGGGGACAGCCATGAATATTTCCTAAGCTGGTTTGTTATGTAAAGGTTTCTTAAAAAGTTGTTAGAGAGCCAGAAAGCTCTGTGATTTACGATTGTTGCCCAAGCAGCCACAGAGCTGGAGGAATTAAACACAACAAGAATCTCAAGGGAAACAAAAAGCTAATGTAAAATGTCATAAACCTCTGGTTTCAATATTTTTCATAAGAGGATACTGCAGCTCAAAGATGGTAAGTAACTTAGCTAAGCTTGCCTCACTAGTGGGGTGGCCAAATGGAGAAAAAGTTAAGTAGAACCAAACCTCCGGCTTGCCACTTGGGTTGCTTCCTCCAGTTATCCCATTAGGGTCACCTCACTGTTTTTCAAGGTCCAGAATTAAGCACAAGTGATACTAATCCTCCCTCATTAATCTAAGGGTACACAGATCTGGTACACATCAAGGGAGTTACTTTCCATGGAAGAGAAGTCAGTCTGACAAGAGCTCAGGAACTCATGATTGCATTGTTCTAAGAGCACACTGCCTCTCTGTTCTGCCTTCTAAATTATAGGGGAGGGAAAACCCAAGCTCCTAATGAAGTCTTAAATAGACTGCATCGGATGGCATGCTCACTTTGAATAACGGTGCCGTCCAAGAGAGACTCATCACCCTTCTGGCAGACAAGGGCTTAGGGCTAATGCCAGAACAGTGCTGATGACCCTCAGGGTCTCTGACCAACTCCAAGCCAAGGGGCAAGGTAACATTGTCTCAAATTGCCTTCATTTAATGTCTTTACCAGTGTTATACAGGGTCCGGCGCAAATAATGCCCTTTTTTATTATATGAAAATATTTTATTACAAAAAACATAAGCATGTAATTCTGTAATATAACAGCATCACACTCAAACACACCATATGACATTTTAGGTGAAATGTCCAAATTGCTGTCCATCTCGTGTGAGACATTCATGTACCCTACTGGCTGCACTCAATGGCATTATTTCTGCTGGACCTGGTATTTGGAAAAAGGAGAAGCACTCCCTATTCTGGTAGTTCATGATAGCAGTGTGCAAGCAGTTTCATTGGATTTGCAAAGCTGCTGTCTCCAGATTTGTTTCAAGATTTCAAACCATGGGAAGGCAGAAATGCCCCCTCCCAACTAATTACATCCATTTCAGAAAGGTTGGCTCATATTTACGATTGGTTACTTCCATGAGTACTCCCTTCCTTGGACAAAAGGTAGATAGACCCTGTTAACTAAAGGTACCTTATACACACTGTTGGTTCCTTATCATTTCCCCCCTCAGAGTATTTGGGAGAGGTCTAGTATAGAGGGTTTCTGGGGGAGAGGAGGAAGCATTTTTAACTGTAGACTTCAGATGTTCTTTTTATACAAAGAAACTCGGGCAGCAACATTTGTGATAACGTTGTATATTTTTATTTGCCTGGAACACTCAGGATTCTCTGTCCTCGGGGGAATCTCCGAAACCATGTTGCTTTAGCTTCGATTGGGCTTATCAAATAAAATACAGCACACCCAGTTAAATTCGAATTTAAAATGAACATGTAATTTTTTTTAGTATAAATTGTCCTTGAAATTTCACAGAGGCATGAGACATTTTAAAACATTTACTTGTTTATCTGAAACTCCTGTTTAACTGGGTGTCCTTGTATTCTTATTTACCAGCTCTGGCAACCCCTTTTTGGATATCAATATTAAACCAAATCTGGATTTTTCTTTCTTGGGCATGTCATAGAAGTCCAATGTTGTAAGAAGGAGCAAGGAGCTCCCAATACAAGCAGTTAAAGAGAAAAGGGAAAGAGAAGAAAAGAGACTAAAGTACTATGGAAACAGTACTGAGAATTTTTAAATGGTTTAAATGCTGTTTGAATATACCCCAAAATGTGACTTTACTTGTATAGATTGAAATTATGATTTTTGCTATCAATGTAAGCTTTGATATGACAAATAGAACAATTAAATTTTTAAAAATTATCTGTTACCACTGTGGTGGCTAATGTAGAAGGAAACAGTCTGACATACTTTTGGAAGTGGGGGAAGAAGGAATATTTCATGGTTGTCAAGACTTGGGGCATTGAATGAATGCAGTAAATATTCAAATCTAGGATTAGTCACTCATTAGCAATACAACGTTGGCTAAGTATTTTATATGTTCTATACCTCATTTCTTTTATTTGTAAATATGGAATAGCAATAGTGCCTATTTCAGACATTTTTTGTAAGAATTAATTGGCATAATGAATATAAATAGCTAAACACCTTGCTGGACAAATGAATGCCCAATAAATAGCAATGACTTTTCTTCCATCTTCCTTTTTGCCTTTCAGGCTATTTAGTAAAATATTCAATGGAACATAAAAAGTTGTGAAATGATAAAAAATGGAATCTACTCATCAATGAGAAGAAATTAACTCTGGTAAACACAACTGCGTGATTGAAATCTCCCAAATACATTTCTGAGCAAAAGCAGCCAGATAAGTGAGAATACATCATATGTTAGTGGCATACTTGACATTGGGAGTGGATGAGTTTGAAGACAACTCTGGTATATGAAAAGTCTTTTCAGTGATGTGGGTGTAATATTTTATAATATGCTTGATCATCTATTATTATTCCCCATTGCCTTATCTTTGCTAATTCTCTATTTTCTTGATTTGTCCATTTTTGAGAGAAAGAGAGCTATTGAAATCTCCAAATATAGTTCTGGATATGCCCATTTACTCAGCACATTCATTTTGCTTTATGTGTTTTGAAGGCTTGTTATTAGATGAACGAACATTTGCGTTGTTATGTCCTCCTGATGAATTATTATGAAATCATATCTTTTATCACTGGTAATATTCTTTGCTCTAAGTTACTTTTTTTAATTTACAAAACTAAACTAGCTATTCTGAAGTTAATATTAGCATAATGTATTTTCACCCTTTTTATTTTTAATAAAATATTACATTTAGACTTATTTTGCAATGATATTTTAGGCAACTATATTTTATCTAAAAGTAATTGTAGTTATAATCGTTTAGATATAATTGTTAAATCGAATTATTCTAAAATGACTATAATTATTTTAAAATTGTATTTTAGATAATTAAAATACAAATATATTTTAAATTGCATATTTAAGTGGACTTTTTGCAGATTATGGTGAGGTGTAGCTTATATACCCATATACCCAGCCTAAAAATCTTTGCCTTGTGATTGGTGAGTTTAGACAATTTATATTAATGTATTTTTTTAAGGTTCAGTTCCACCAACTTGAGAGTTGGTTCCTATTTTTCCATTTGTCCTTTCTTCCCCTTTCTCTCTTTTTATGCTTTCTTTTTATTTGACTATCTTTTGTCTTTTTCCATGTCTTATATTGGCCATATGCATAATATATTCCTCAGGTACAGTGCAAACATACTACAATAGCATATTTCTATTGTTCATTCATCTGCCACTGTACAATAATCATACATTTTAAAAATAAAAACAGTTTTAATTTGAGTTACCTATAGATTTACATGCCATTATAAAAAAATACTATAGAGAGATCCCATGTAAAATTCACTCAGCATCCCCACATGGTAATGTCTTGCAGCAGTAAGGTTGGTAACAATATCACAACCAGGTCATTGAGGATGACACAGTGAGAACAACCTGTTGCCACAAGGGTACCTCATCTTGCCCTTTCATAGCTACACCCACTTCCCAACCCAACATACTAGCAAGTCAAAACCAGCCATATAAAAAAAGACTCACGTGTCCAAAAAAGATTTCCTCTCAGAAATGCAAACTTGATTCAACATTTCTGGTGCCAGACAGCAAGGACTCACTCAAAAACAATGTGAGAGCGTGTCAAAAGGAACAGTGATGATATTGGATTATAATTCCCAAACAAAATAAATATCCATGAGGCCATACTGTTATAAGTAAATGATTGAATAAGTGAGTAAATGGAGTAGAGCTAGATCTTCCTTATAGAAGAATTCCAAATATTACACGTAGAAAGAATGATGGAAATAGAAATCAACCTTAATAATAATTGCTGCAGGCATGATCCAGTAGTGCATGTTAAATTCATGGAACAGCACAAATAGGCAGCTTCAAAGTATCTCCCCCAAATACATGAGGTCTGTCCAGATGGTATTCAGCCCTGTAATATGAAAAATAGAGACATTTATTGAAGAAGATACAAGGTACAAGAAACACTGTACATAAGACAATGATGCCTCAGTCCCTTTCATAGTAGGCACCTTTGGACCTCACACAGTTCTCCCAATAGCCATCAGCTGTCCCACTGTATTTTCCTGAATTTCATCGACCGTCTGAAATCTCTTCTGTTTCAAAGGTGATTTCAGTTTTGGGAAAAGCCAGAAATCACAAGGTGCCAAATCTGGGCTGTAGGGGGCTGGGTCACCTGGGTGAGTTGGTGTTTCCCCAATACACTCTGCACAAATGTGATGCATGAGCAGGCACATTGTTGCGATGGAGCTGCCAATCACCAGCTGCCCACAGCTGAGTCACCCGAATCATCTGAACAGTTTCCACAGAGGAATGTCCAAGCTTAATGCAAAATTTGATGCATATTCATTGCTCTGCTCATTCAGTCATTTTGAATGTGGTGGCCACACAGTACCCATGCTCACTCAATGGCATCCACCACTACCACTAACTAGTACAGTGAAGACATCACTGGTCACACATGCACATTCCAGTCCACTCTCCTTGGCTGCCAGATTACACTGATGTCATGCAAACCATTCTTGTTATATTAACAATGGTTGGACTTTTTCCAGGCGGACCTTGTATATTCATTGCTGGGGTGGTTCTGACAGATGGCCACAGGTTATTTCCTATTGCTGTTTCCAAGTAGTAGAGATTCATTCTCTTCACTCTGGCTGGATTTGGTGATTCATTTCTAATGAAGGGTATGAAAAAAAATGTAGTAACTTTGCAGCAGAGAAACCTCCCTGAAACTGTGTTAACCAACTGACCACGGTATTTAATATCATCAGTACTAAGTTGTGTTAATACCATGTACCTCCTGCCATGATGATGAGGACACCTCACCTCTGCAGTGAGATTCCCCCAAATCCATAACCTCATTCCAATGACCAGAAAACAGCAGACAAAACTAAAGAGAGGGAACGTGTTGCAAAATACCCGACCAGCACCCTTTCATAAAAAGTGTCAAGAGCATGAAAGGAAAGAGAAAAAAAAAACCTAAGAAACTATCACAGATTAGATGATACTAAAAGTATGTGATGATTAAAAGCAATGTGGCACCTCGATTAGGGTCCAGAAATAGACAGAGGGAACGAGGGGAAAATCGGTAAGGTCTATAGTTCAGTGAATTCTATTGTACAAATGTTAATTTCTTAGTTTTGATAAATGTACCCTGGTGATATAAAATGGTCATATTAAGGGACCCTAGGGGGGAAAAGATGAGGACTCTTTGTATTGTTATCCTTTATAAATGTATAATTACCTCAAAATAAAAACTACAAAAACAAAATTTTTTAACATTTGTCTATGGGGCAAGATGTGGACCTCCACCTCCATCTGCCACTCTCCCTCTTTCTGCCTCAGCCAGGATGCTGTGTTCTAGCCCCAATACTCAGGGGGCTCCCTCCTACCACAGGGTGTTTGCACAGGGTACTGAAGATTCTCCTCTGGCTTTCTCCAAAGCTCTGTCTTCCTTTCCAGTGCAGAAATCCCTTACTCACCCATCCGATTGTAGACCAAACTCCTTCATTTCACTTTGGCACCTCTCACATGAACAAGTCCTCTTCTGGACTCTCATACATCATGTGCCCTTCTTCATAGCCCTAGTCACGCTTGTGGTTGTGCATTTATTTGTCTGTATGATTATTTATGAACATCTGTTTCTTCCACCAGAGAGCAAGCTCAGTGGTGAGGGACTATATATACTTTAATTTACCCAGGGCTTAGCATAGGCTCTGGCACAGAGCAGGTACTCAACATGTACCTGCTGAGTAAATGATCTAGTCTCAGACATATGGGATGTATCTAAAATTGTACTACTATTGACACTTTCCCACAAGAGGGGAAGAGAACACTTCCCTTTCCACCTAACATGCTTGGAGGTAAGACAACCTAGTTATAAATATTGCATGGAGAAATAATTTAAAGTGGAGAGCTTCTAAGTACTCTGAGAGCCCTCATAATAAGTGGAAATGAGACAGCTGCCCTACATTCCTCTCTGTTCAGTCCTCACCCCAGAAAAACTTCAAGCTACTCTGCCACACAGTGTGAAATCTTACGGCTCCTTCAACACCTACTTTCATTCAATAAATCAAGAATGAGGAGGTTCAAGCAGGCCTGCAGTGCGAGCTGAACCAGCCTTGTCTCCTTCTCTGTTCTTTCTTCTTCTTTATTGTTGTTTATTGAAAGAAGTTAAACCCATTTTGCGATTTGCTGTTTATCAGGCAAATAACTGTTTGAGGCAATCCCCAGTGGGACCCACTTTATATTTTGTGGACGTTCCAGTTCAGTGACAGCAGGTGGAACATCCTAGAAGAGAGCCAATGAAATGAGTTCCAGAAAGGTAAGAAGGCAGCAGTTGCACAGGCGAATAATAAATAAGATAATAAATACATGAGCATAACTGCTGTTAGGGATTAAAACCTGCACTCAGAGAATGGGGAGATGGGGGGATGTGAAGAGAAGAGAGTGGTAGCACTTTCTTGGTGGATTTTGAAGTAGTGCTTATGATGGAGCTCGCTTGCTGAGAGTGGCAATCCTCTCTGTTGGTTTGATTCCTTGTGGTATCTAATGTTCCCTTATGGGGGGGTGGGGAGGGAGTAAGAGTAACTCAATCCCTTCTGGCACTCAGAATAAGCCCTATAGACCTCCTTGACTGCACAATATATTTATTCCTTGACTCTCTGCAGAATTGGTACATTCCCTAAAGAGAGGGAACGTGTTGCAAAATACCAACTCATGTTGGACATAGTTGCTGTAAATAGAGAACAAAATCATCAGTTTTTTAACTGAAAGACTGTCCAGTTTCAATGAACCAATAGGAAAAATTTCTGATGGCAAATACTGCTCTGAATTGTAAAGTTCAACTCCTTCCTTGTATGACTAATTTTGGCTCTTTTTCTCATTCCTGTGAGTCAAATAGATTATGAAAAGCCCGTGATCAGGAATTTCTCAGCAATAAACATTTTTAAATGACAAAAAAAATATTTATGCATGCATTCTATTAATGTTTAGAAACCAAGTACAGAAAATAAATATCATTCACCTATAACCACACTTTCCAGAGATCACACCTGTTTCCCCTGCATATTTTTAAGTTATAATCACAGAGAACAATTAGCACACTGTTTTCATTCATTTACTAAATCCTCAATTTCCTCATATAATGAGTTTTCCTAAGTTAAGTGGAACTGGGTGTACAGTGTTATATCAGCCAAATGTACAAAAAAAAACCCAAACCAACCATAAGACCCACACATCTAAGGTGTCTCTAATCCTGTGTCAGTGGGGACTGGGAGGGCGACCTAACAAGACCTACTTTCTCTCTCATGTCACATGCCACACTTAAGAGCTGGACTACTGCCACATATACAGTTTATATAAACCCGCACAAATGTTTAATGACAAGAGTTAATCTCACCAAAGAGACTGCCATTCCAGCTTGGGGTTACCATGCATTTCTGTGAGAGAAAGGGGAAGAGTCCTTCCTCCACTTGGATGTGGTTTTACAGGTGCTGCTGAATGACTGCTTGTCCTCAAATCATTCCAACATCCTCCTACAGTTTGTCTGGGGTTCTTACTCTTTCTGTAGATGTTTTGGATTAGACAGTGATTGTTCTGGGAATTCCTTGTGAATATAAATGCCACCACCT